CAGCCAGCAAGCTAGCCGTTCTGGAGTTTAGTGAATCTTTATGATAATTCACTGGTGAGTGGGATGTCGTAGCACAACACTAATCCCAGAGTGCTACCCTGTCGTTGTCGATGGTTTGACACAAATACACGTTCACCGTTTTTTTTTTGGATTATTTCCATTTTTGCCGAGAGAGCAGCCGGTGCAAAAGCACCAATTTGAAACAATGCGTCGTTTTGGCCGTATAATTAAAACCTTTAATATAATTGCGTGAAAGTTCTCATAGTTTTTCGGCGTCATCAACATAAGTTTTCGTCTGTATCGTCATCAGCACAGTTTTGTCGTCTTAATTTTTGATAGTGGTGGAAAAGTAGGCACAATAGTGCCATTTTTGGGACTTTCATTCACAGAGGCACTTTTGGCACAATTCATTAATTTTGGCACAGGCATTAAATACAAAAATTTAAAATTAAAGGCCACTAAGTATATAACAAAAAATCACATACAACATTATAGATTAAAAAAGTACAAAAAGTTAAAATTAAAAGCAGTAAAAATTAAAATAAGGGCCATGAGAAATATTTACAAAGCGCTGAATTCTATTGTAAATACGCAGTACGAAAAGTAACCCTGTAGGGAAAACACGAACTAGTGAAACAAATTTCTAGTTCAGTACTAGTTCTTTTTCGCCAAAAACGAACCAGTCTCGCACCAGTCCAAAAGCAGTGAAATGTGGTACTTTCACTAAACTATTTTATTTCAAATTTTAAACGCAGGGAAGGTAATCATTATGAGAAAAATAATTTAAATCAGCATTTAATCATTATTTTATGAATTATTATTGAGTTTTATTCTTGCGCTCAAACGGAAATAATTATTATTTGATTTTTATTTTTGGGATTACATATAATGATTACTTTATGATTTTTATTTTTTCGCGCAGACATTATCATTAAATTTGAGTTTTATTTTTCCACTTAAAAAAAAAAAAGATAATTTATAAAATTGAAAAGGCCATACAGACGCAACCTACTGAAATTTCGACCTGAAAAGTTTGGGTCTTATTCCTCTTATAAGGGTGCGGCTACCTCTCAAAAGGATACGTCGGTAATCACGCTGGTATAGTTGCTTAATAATCATTATACTTAGTGATTCCATAAACAAAGGCCAAGATCCTGAAGGACAATTGAGAAAGACAATGCAGTTGCAGAAAAAGAGACATTTAAAAAAAAGTGTCAAAATAATTATCACTTTCTCACTAAATTTATTTAAAAATGCAAGCCACCGGAGCTATCTTTTTTTAAGAAAAGGCAAACTAATTTTTTTTATGCAATCCAGCACAGCTACCTTAATACAGTCAGTCAATAAAGTTTAGGTACAACGAATTTTTTACAATACGGGCAACTATTTTTTAAATATTTTAGTTTTCGGTAATTTTTTATAAAAATATGGTCAATTCTACAACAAAATCCCAAAAAATCAGAGTTCCAAACCTTGTGCAAAATTTAAGAAAATTCTGCAAAATTTCATTAAAATAATTCACTTTCTATTTACGCTCTCTACAAAAAGTTGAGTTTACAGTTTTTTAGCCAATTCAATTTTAATATAATGAAGTGCAAGTTCGAGGAGGCCACGACTTACCAAACAACAAAAAACAATTGCTAAATATCAATGGTAAGTCCTAGCTACCTCAAACTTGCACTTTGTTATACTAAAATTGAATGGGCTAAAAAACTGCGTACTTAACTTTTTTCTAAAGGGTGTAAATTGCAATATTTGGATGGAAATTTGCGAAGTTTTCTTTAATTTTTCATAAGGTTTGGAACTCCGATTTTTGTGGTTTTTGGTGTATAACTAACCATATTTTTATAAAAAATTTGGGAAAAATAAAATATTTAAAAAATAGTTGCCGGTATTGTAAAAACTTCGCTGTACCTAAACTTTTTTGACTGACTGTATATCTTATTTAAGTTAAGTACGACAAAAACTTTCGAAGTACTTCATATACATATAAGCTTAAAAATAACTGAATTTACTTAAAAATCAATATGCTTAAATTTAGACAAGTAAGACAAAGTGAACTAATATTTTTACTTTTTAGCAGAACGCACTTTTGTTTTTTACTTACTACTTAAATTTTATACTACTACTACTACTAATGTGGTTTATAAATTTTAAATAAATGCGTTTAAACATTTGTGATGGTATTGTTCTTTCTTCAACCGATCGTATTGAATATAAAAGGGAAATTTTTGACAAGCCTGATTAGAAATATATATCTAAGGAGGTTGGGAACTACAAAAAAAAATGGATGCAGGTCGAACTAGATCTCATCAGTCGAATTAGGAACTGGTTTGGAACTAAAGAAAAGGGGATGCAGAACGAACTAGATCTCATTTGCCCAATTCGGAACTGGTTCGGAACTATAGAAAAAGGGATGCAAAACGAACTACATAGATCTTATCTGTCGAATTTAGAACTGGTTCGGAACTAGAGCCAAAGGGATGCAACGGGGTACAATTGACACTTCCTAGGACATCGCAATGTTAAATTCGCCAGTCGCTAGCATGCAAAAGAGAATTAACGCGTTCTAGTCATGGTTCCAAACAGGGATGGGCGTTTTTGAATGAATTTTTATTCAAATAAAAAATAAGATTTTATTCATAATTTTTATAATTTTGAATGACGAATAAATTTTTATTCTTTATTCAAACACTTTCGAATGATGAATAAATTTTTATTCTTCATTCAAGCACTTTCGAATAATGAATAAATTTTTATTCTTTATTCA